CAGCTCTGTATGCACAAATAAATCTTTTAAAAAAAAAAGATTTATTTATTTATACATACAAAACTGGGGTACAAGCTAGAAGTGCAGGGCAGTGAGAAGCTTCACCAGAGACAGAGTGGGGAGCAGAACAGGCAGATCTACGAAGTACACTGCTGAGGGGAGCAAGGGGTGGTCAGGAGAGGTCTGCTGCGTCATGTGGGTCACCTCCGGGCCTGGGATCGAACTTGCACTGAAGCGGCTGCAGCCATCTTGCAGTGCTGCGTCCTAACTGGTTGCTTCACCAGGGAGGGCCCTCTCTTCACTTTTATGATGAAGAAGAAATCATGGGACTCTGGGTTGTCTTATACCTGGTGGTCTTATATGTTGCATTTGTTCTTGTAATGTTATTCAGAGGATTGTGTAACTAATTGTTTATTAACTGTTATCTGTGTTCCCTTGCATCTATCCAGTTGTTGAAAACCTGGATCTAGTCCATTGTTTATGCATTTGTTCACTTAACAGATATTTAGAGCCCTGCTGATTGTCAAGCACAGCCTTAGTCACTGGGGCATAAAAGAAGATAAGACTATCCTTCCATTATCCAATTTTCTACCTTCCATTATCCAGTGTTCTACCTTTCTGAGTTAAGCTGCTGTAAAATATTTTGTTAATATTAGGAAAGACGATCATATCCTTTTTTACATCTGACCTGTTTCCAGGAGTGAATGTTCCTGGATGATGTAAGAATTGCAGCATACTAAAGAGGTTTAGCAGCTACAAAATAATTGTAGGTTTGAAAAAAAAAAAAGAAGAAGAAAGAAAACTCCTGGCAGAAAAGGTAATGAGTGAGTAAGGCTGCAGTGAGGATGTGCCTGAGCCTACCCACGCCCTGCATCCCATCCCATCAGGAACAATAGAGGATGCCAAACTTGGGTCTAAGCATCTTATATATTAACTGTTGTCATCCTTACAACAGCCCCGTGACGTAGGAATCATGCCAATTTTATAGATGGGGTGCTGTGGCACGGCACAGTTCAGTCACCTGCATAGAATCACTCAAGCCTAGTAAGTGTGCCTGGCTCCAGAGCCCATGTGTGTAACTGCTCTGTGATCCCTCACTGCTCTGTGATCCCTCATCTCTCAGGCCACCCTTCCAGCATCTCTCTCACCTTTCTTGTTCATTAGCAATTCCTTTCTCACTGCCAGAGCTTACCCATCAATTACAAGCAAATCCTATATGTGCTATTTTTTTTTAAAAGATGTCTTTATGCATACAGAACTGGGGTACAGGCCAGAGGTGCAGGGACGGTGAGAGGATTCACCAGAGACAGAGTGGGGAGCAGAACAGGCTGACTGATGAAGCACACTGCTGAGGGCAGCAGTGGACTGATCAAGAGAGGTCTGCTGCACCATGTGGATCACCTCCGGGGAGAGGATCAAACTAATGCTGAAGTGGCTTTAGCTTTTTCGTGCTGTGCTTTAACCCGCTGTGCCACCAGGGAGGACCCTATATGTCCCCCCTTTTTTTTTTAAGATTTATTTATTTGTGCATAAAGAACTGGGGTACAGGCCAGAGGCTTGGAGGCAGTGAGAGGCTTTACCAGAAACAGAGTGGGGAGCAGAACAGGCAGATCAGCGAAGTATACTGCTGAGGGGAGCAGCGGGTGGGTCAGGAGAGGTCTGCCGCGCCATGTGGTCACCTAACGGGGCAGGAGGGGATCAAACTCATGCGGAAGTGGCCTTAGCTTCTAAGTGCTGTGCTTTTAACCCACTGCGCCACCAGGGAGGGCCCTATGTGTATTATTTTAAGAACCTTCTTTGACACCACATCTCCCTCCAGTCATCTCCAAGTGTCCTTGTTGACTTCTTCAAATTGTAAGCATTTTTTTCCATTTGCTATGTCTACATCTTTTTTTCTGATTTTATTTGGAACCACTCCAGCCTGACTTTGTCTCTACCATTCCACAAAAATGTTGGTCAAGTTCACTGATGATCTCAAACTTCAGTCAGGGCGACAGTCTCAGTTTCCTCCTGGACCCCTGACATATTTTATTCATCTGGCTTCTGTGACATCACACTGTTGATTTCTCTCTCACCTCTGGAGTCACTTTTATGTGGCTCTCTCTGTGCTGGCCAGCGTTGGTTTGACCTGCTTCCCTTTCATTTCCACTCACTTGGTGGTCTCAGCCAGTCTCAAGGTCTTCAATATTAGACATTTCAAAATATGATTTGATGATGCTTAATGATTTTTTTAAAATAACACAATAGTTTATTTTTACATCATTTTGTGCCTTTTCCCATCTCAGTTGTAATCCCAGTGGGCTTCCCATCACCAAATCACTCATGTGCCATCACCAAGGTCCAATGCACTTTCCACCCCCCAGTTTTGATCCCATTCCTCATTTCACCCCTGTAAAGTGTCTCTTGTATATAGTTGTTCATTATTATTTTTTTTTTCTCCCCTGGTCCTTTATACTCCTACTATGAGCAAAACCATCTGGTATTTTTCCTTTTCTTTCTGGATGTTTAATGAGTTTTATCTTTAGCTTTGCCCTTCCCTAGATGCTATGTTATGATGTCTGGTGCAGGATGAGAAAATGATTACTCCAAGTCCAAGCCGTTTTGGAGCTAAATGAGGAGCCTTCAGGACTACACTGGGCTACTGCCTTGAGAGGAGCAATTTGAGGTGGTGTCCCAGCCAGAGGCAGTCTTGCGTTTATTGAGTGAAATACAGATGATAGAAATCAAAGAGCAGCCCAGCAAGTAGAGAATGCATAAGCAGGTGGGGGCCATGCAACCACCTGGGCCTCCCAGGGCTTAGTGACAGCGGCGGAGTGCAGGGGTCTGCATGTAGATGCTGATCTAGGCGTAGCATCTAGAGCGCTACATGAACACGCTGTTTTTAGCATGTATTTCGGCACACCACGACTTTTGCTCTGAGAGATTCCTTATCTTAGTTCCCTGTTCATCCTTTGGCTGCAAGATACCGGCTAGACAAGGCACAGAATAGACCCACACCCCCGCACCTACACTTGCAGCATTTCCATGGGGGCTTCCTAGGCACAGCCGCCACCTGCTCCACTTGTCTTAAAGAAAATTCTTGATTTTGCCCTTTGTCTTTTACTTCCCAATTTTAGTAATGTAGCATCTTCTTGCTGGGGTATATCCCATGTAGAGCTCTATTGACAGATTACATCCAGATCTAACCGCCTTTGCCCCCTCTTCCAGACCCACATGCTCATCCTAAGCACTTTCCTCTCTTCCTGGCTGTTGAAATAACCTGAAGAGGGTTGTCTGCTTTTTCTCTTGCTCTCACACAGCCTGTTCTCCACCCTGGCTGGAGTCTTTCTTTGCAAGTGTGAATCAGATCTGGCCTGCCTACCCTTTCACCATTTCCTACATTCTCTCTGTCTCCAGCCCAGTTTTTCCTTTGTTGTTCTTGAACAAGCATATATCTGCTCCAAGGCATTTGCCCTTGCAGGTCCCGCTGCTGGGAAAACTCTTCCCGTAGATTTCGGTCTACAGTAAATGAGGGAATTGATTATTTTGGTATAATATCTGTTCAAACATTACCTTAGCTGCAAAGCTTTCCTGTATCTCCCTGTCTGAAACAGCAGCACCTGGCATTTTCTGTCTTCTTGCAGTTTAACTCATGGTGTAAGGTTGTATTCTGTATCTGTTTGCTTGTTACATGCCTCCTTGAGTGGTTTTAGTAACTCCACGAAGGCAGACATTATTTTCTATCCCCAGCACCTGGAACCAGTTGCTTTATAAATATATATATACACATATATATAAATATAAAGTTGCTTTATAAATATATATATTTATACACATAAGTATAAATAGTCGAATTTTGGGAAGTGACAGGTGGTAAGTCCCACAAATGTTAAGGATATAAAAAAAAATTACATGTGATGTCTTTAAAATGTAAATGATAGGTGAAAAGGTTATGTGTGGAGCAGAAAAGGAGTGCCCTGAGTTCTCGGGTGACTTGAAGCCCTCCTCTTGCCTTCTCTCCTGTGCCACCAGAGGCGCTCCCTGTGGCCGGCACTGCTGTGTGCTGAGCCAGGGGCAAGGTCTTCAGTGGACTGTGCGTGCTCTGCTCTCTTCACGGGTCACCCGGGTGCAGTCAAAGAGAGAGTGGGGTCTAGAAGTATTCCTAGAAAATGAAAATTGGTGACACATAGTGAAATTGGGGATCTTATTTTCCCTAAATCTCTTCTACTTGAAGCACTGAAAATGACAATATATATATTTACTCTTCTGATAATAACAGTGTTAACAGTTATTTTCATGTGTAGTTTCTCTGATTGATCATTATCCCACTTCCCAACCCCCTCTCCAGTTGGGTTGAGAATGTGATGTAACTGATTTGAGTTTCATGGCACACTCCTCTGTAAGGAGGAAGATGAGAATGACAAAGATGGTGTCTCTCTGGATGAGAGCCTGGATGGTGACCCTGAGCTGCCTGGATCCAGAAGTGGACTTATGTATGCACGAATCCAGGAGTGGATTTATGTATACTCTCTTAGCATTGGCGCGGGTACTACTCAGAGATGTGGAAGAATAGAAAGAATTTTGTACCCAAATAATGAATGTTCTTGCTTAGTGTTATGAAATATAAAAGGGTTAGGTTTCTCGCTTTAAATCCTGTTAGTCTTCCAGTCTGCTTACAAATGGATACATCATTCAGGACCTTTAGAAAAAGACATGGTGTGCTTTCTATGTGTCCTTGTACACATAGCGATGACTTTAACACAAATACACTTAGCCTGAACTTTGACTCCAGACAAACATGAGATATCATTATTATTTGATACAACTGATTTTGACTGTTTTAAAAGGTAGTTATGGAATGTGCACAGAATCCCACAAAGTTCACATTGCCCAATTTGGGCTGTAGAAATTGTTTTAACAGTCAAGTGTGGTTATTTTGTAGTGCTTAGGTCATTTCAGAAGCCTCATTTGTATTCACTCACTGTATTTCTTCATGTTTCCTTTGATTTCTTTTTGCCTAGAGGGAGAAGACGAGGATGAAGAGGATGAGGAGGAAGAGGAAGAAGAGGAGGATGAGGAGGAAGATGAGGATGATAAGGATGGCGTTTCTCTGGATGAGAGCCTGGATGGTGACCCTGAGCTACCTGGGTTCACGCTCCCCGGCCTCACATCTCAGGAACCTGGCTTGGAGCAGGGAAATGAGGCTGCAGTGGAGGGAGCCACCTACCAGGCTCCAGATGCCATTGAGTGGCAGCAGCAGAATCAGGGCCTGGGTAAGTCCTCTGTGCTCCCCGTCCCCTCTCCCCCCCTTTCACGCTCTCTAAGGTGACACTTCTTTCATTGGTGTGGATTATGGAGCAAAATGGATATTCTGTTTGTGGGTGATTCATTTGGGAAAAAGGCATCCATTTTCCCCAATATGTTTCCATTTATGCTCTTAAATCACCAGGCTCCAGTCTAAGCTCAGTTACTTACTTTTGGGATGAATTCCTTCTTTCCTTCCCAGCCTGAAGACACTTGTAGTCTTTGGAATGACTTTTACATAGGGAGGGGACGTATATTACCAGGTGACCAAGTAGCACACACGAGCTGGCGTTGGAAAAACAAATATATTTTGTATGTTCTGTCCTTTTGGAATTTTTTTTCTGCACTGCTTTGAGTGAGCTTCTGTCAGTCTGTGGCTTTTCTGTGTATTCTGGAAGTTGTCATCCATTGTCAAGCATGGTCTCATTTCAGCTGTTGGGTCCAAACAACCCGTGTTTACCAGACTTAGCTCCTGGCCTGATTTTTTGGCAAGAGACTCTGTGGATGCAGGCTGACTCCATCTGGACACTCTTTTTCTTCTCAGCAGAGAGGGCCCCTTATTACTTTCCTCTTGACTTTTTTTTTTTTTTAAAGATTTATTTATTTATTCATACAGAACTGGGATACAGGCAGAGATGCGGAGGGTGAGAGGATTCACCAGGTACAGAGCGGGGAGCAGAACAGGCAGATAGATGAAGTACACTGCTGAGGGGAGCAGCGGGTGGGCCAGGAGAGGTCTACCACACCATGTGGTCACCTCATGCAGAAATGGCTTTAGCTTTTATAGTGCTGTGCTTTAACCCGCTGCGCCACCAGTGAGGGCCTTGACTTTTTTTTTTAAAGATTTATTTATTTATGCTTACAGAACTGGGGTATAAGTCAGAGGTGCAGGGACAGTGAGAGGCTTCAGCGGGTGGGCCAGGAGAGGTCTGCCACACCATGTGGTCACCTCCGGGTAGGCAGGCGGGGATCGAACTCATGCAGAAGTGGCTTTAGCTTTTTAGTGCTGTGCTTTAACCTGCTGCGCCACCCAGGAGGACCTTGACTTTTTTTTTTTTAAAGATTTATTTACTTATGCTTACAGAACTGGGGTACAAGTCAGAGGTGCAGGGACAGTGAGAGGCTTCACCAGAGACAGAGTAGGGAGCAGGACAGGCATCTCAATGAAGTACACTGCTGAGGGGAGCAGCGGGTGGGCCAGGAGAGGGCCGCGCCATGTGGTCACCTTCGGGGCAGGGGTTTGAACTCCGGGGCAGGGGATTGAACTCTGAGGCAGTGAAACGGCTGCAGCCACCGTGCAGTACTGCATCCTAACCTGTTGTGCCACCAGGGAGGGCCCCTTTTGACTTTTTCAAGAGAGATATTATACACTCTGGATGATTCTTTGAAGCCTAAGTCTCCTGACATGAGGTGAAATATTCTCTACTCTAAAGAAACCCTCTCTTAGAAGTTCTGTTAGTCTTTATAGTTAAACCTGTTTGTACCTTCAGAGTTGCAGAGATTGAATGTGTTATATAATCAGTTTCATTGAAAATGTGTCTGTTGTTCTGGGACTTCAATCTGGAATATCATACTAATGTATACTAATGTCTAGGTTGAAACTTGCAATTTAGACTCCTGTTACCTGTGATTTCTTAAAGATCATTCTATCTTCCTTTGCAACTTTTTCTTTTCTCATTTTTTTTTTTTTTTTTACATCAGTGGTGAGAAAGGATGAGTGCATTGCAGGAGCATGGAGTGGAAAAATTGCAATCTGTTTACCACATGATAGTGTAGTTTAAAACATTTTCTCTCATTTTTTAAAGTGCAAACTAGAATTGGTAAAACCTTTAAAGGTTTACGATCTAAGGAGTGATTCTTTTTATAATCTCTAGAACTTTGAGGATATTTAATGTCATTTGCTCTTCCTTTAGAGTTTTTTGATGAGCTGCCCTTTAGATTTGATTAAATAATTTATCCGATAAACCTAACTGAGCACCTATTACATTTCTGACACTTTGCAAAGTATTGGGAACACAGAGGCAAACAAGGCAGTTCCCTGTCTTGTTTATAGCAGAGTCCATTTCATTGAGATTTCAGTGCAGGGTGGGTAGTTTTTTTTTTTTTTTTAAAAGATTTATTTATTTATGCATACAGAACTGGGGTACAGACCAGAGGTGCAGGGGTGGTGAGAGGATTCACCAGAGACAGAGTGGGGAGCAGAACAGACAGATTGTCGAAGTACACTGCTGAGGGGAGCAGAGGGCCATTCAGGAGAGGTCTGCCATGCCATGTGGGTCACCTCAGGAGCGGGGATGGAACTTGTGCTGAAGTGGCTTTAGCTTCTTAGTGTTGTGCTTTAACCCGCTGCGCCACCAGGGAGGGTCCAGGGTAGGTAGTTGTATAATAAATGTAGATTTAGGAAGCCTGAACAGAAATGAGGATGGCGGCCCTTTATATTAACCTGAAGTGTTCAGACCTGCCATTTGTAGGGTATATAGAGAGAAAAGAGCTTGAGGGGAAGGAGATCAAAGAAGAGACCCACACAAAGGCATGTGGTGGGAATAAAAAGCATGATGCATGCAGACGGGTTGTCAAAGGACAGTGTAAGGGGGGAAAGAAGCTCTAGGAGATATGGTGGTGGAAGAGGCTGGAGAGACAAGCCAGGGATGCTCCATGAAGAACTCTCAGTGCCAAGGGGTTTGATTCGTCCGTTATGAAAGCCATTTTGGAGACAGAGTCGTGGAGAAAGAGGGGGACAACTTGAGACTAGGGAGAGCAAAGGGCCATTTAGAGGCCAATGCATTGATCCCAGTGAGAAATGAAGGTCTGAGTGCAAGCAGAGGAGGTGGCGTGGGGAAAAAGCCTCCAGTCAGAGAGCTGGGAGTTCCTCACGACCCTGTTGGGGTTGGGAGTAGAAAAGAGAATTGATTTCTAGGGGTTAGCTTGGGCAAATGGGTGGGTAGTGATGCCTCTTATGAAGACAGAGAGTAGAGGAAGGGAAGTGAGTTTGGGGGAGAGGTGATCCGGTTGTGGATGGTTGAGAATGAGGAGCCTGAGCGATGTCTAGTAGTGACTTAGATTTTCAGTCTTGAATTCAGCAGAGAAGCCTGGGGCTGAGATATAATTCAGGGGTTATTACCGTAAAGGTTGTCAGAGAGGTCGTCACTGAAATGTAGTGGGGTTGCCTGTGGAATGTGCATCTGGTAAGGAGACTACAGCAGTGGCAGTGGCAGGATCTCTACTGTGCAGGCAAAAGTGTTAGCGCAGGGCATACAGGATTACTGCATTATTCCTAAACAAACTCAGCACGTAACTGGGCAGCAGTTACTTTTGAAACATATCCAGTGAAACTGATAAAGGATTCTAAGTGTATTAAAATATTATATAGTAAAAATATAAAACACAAAATATGAACCCTAGCCTGTGGACTTGTGAATATTTAGCCTCGATTATTTTTGAAAAATAACTATATATCTATATATAAATTTCACATCATTCTTCCTTTTTCATCTCGCTTGTAATCCCTGTGGACTTCCCACCACCGATTCACCCCTGTGCCATCACCATAGTCCCATGTGCTCTTCCCACCCCAGTTTTGATCCTGTTCCCCTCTCTATCCTGATGAATGTCTCTGGTTTATAATTGTTTGTTGATTTTCATTTTCACTTTATAATAGTTGTTATTTTCTGATCCCTTACACTCCTGCTATAAGTGAAAGCATCCAGTATTTTTTTTTTTCTTTCTGGCTTATTTCAGTAAGCATGATCCCTTCCAGCTCCATTCATGTTGCTGCAAATGGCATGAATTTATTTTTTTGATTGCTGAGTAATATTCCATAGCATATATGCACCACATCTTCTTGATCCAGTCATCTAGCCTCTATTATACATATACTAGTTTGAAATGAATAAAATAAAATATAAAATGCAAAGATAGCTTCTTTCTAAGCAGTCAGTGACTCAATCGCAATAAGGACTTTTGGGCCAACATGAATTGATCCTGTTTCCTAGATTCTCAAAGAGCAGATGAAATACAGGGGACACCCCCTTCCCTTATGTGATGATTTTTGTGGCAGGTAGAGGAGTGGCTCCACAGAGATGTTTGTGTCCTAATCACTGGGACTAGTGACCAGTAAAAACAACTTTGCTGGTGTTGTCAAGTTAGGGACATTAAGATGGGCGAGTACCCTGGAGTATCTGAACGAGTCCCATGTAACCAGAGAGGTCCTTAGATGAGGAAGGGACAGGTCAGAGTCAGAGAAGGAGATGCAGGTGGGCAGAGGCCAGAGTGATGGGGCTGTGTGCCAAGGAATGCTGGCAGCCTCTGGAAGCTGCAAAAGTGAAGAGATGAATGGCTGGTCCCCCTCAACCCTCAGAAGAAGCACAAACCTGCAGGCCCTTTGATTTTAGGTCCTCAACACCCACAATAGACTTCTCACCTATATAACTCTAAATTAATTTACTAAGTGAGTGGGTATATGTTACAATAGAAATAGGAAACTAATACTGATGACAGTACTGTTTTATGGGACATGCCACTGCAGCTGTACTCAGAGTGTAAAGGCTGTAAAGGAAAGTAGAGATATTTTCTTAATCATTAAAAATGTAAACATTGAGATCCTTTAAAAAGTAGTCCTATTTAATATCATTTTAACTGGCCATCTTCAGTCCTCTTTATAAGTAAGTTATTTATAGTTTGTCACATCCTATTTTACAATATGAGTAGTATTTTAAAGCAAATGCTAAAACCCATATAAACCTTTAGAAATGAACAGATTGAAGTGGGTAGCTGGGATTGGCTAAAAATAATGCAAACTCTGAATAGATTATAGTCATGTTTCTTGTGAAGTAATGAGAGCAGAAAATCTAGATATTTTCTAAGGCAAAACTGTGGATTCATGGCCTCAAATTCTCTGAATTTCTGTTTTTTTTTTTTTAAACATTGTCATATACACATTGCATCAAAACCTTTGGAGAGAGAGAGAGAG